CACAACTATTGGGTGGGCTACCTTCAATCTCTAGCTCATGGGGCAGGTAGAAGCCATCTGTGTAACACTGAAGCAAGAGTTCAAATTAAAAACCAACAGAAAAAAATTAGGTCAATAATCAATATTCAAAAATTATCATCCCAATCAAGACAGTGCAAGCTAGTGGCACAAATTTCCCTATTTCCCAAAGGACTTCTTCAGTATTATCTGCCCAGACCTTCAAAATCAATTTGTTCAGCAGTAGTGAAAGGAGATGGAGCGTAACCGGTCACACACAGGGTGGAAAACTAAGGTTATGCTGCCAATGGGGATCTTTGGCTAATAAGCTGATGCTCATGCTTCAAAGTACATCTACAATTAGAGCAGGTTTCGTTAATGCTGGAACACATCATTTGTATCTAATGAGGATTAAGGTCTCCTTGAAATTAGATACTAAGGAATGTCCATGTCCCTTGTCCATGCCAACATGACTGAATCTTAACTACAAGCTTAATTGGGTGTAGGGAATTACAAGGAAATGTGCTGGTTTTTCCCTAGCATTATGCATATTACCTTTTATTACCTATTGCCCAGGTGTTTTTTTGAAAATCTTTTCTCCTCACTGTTAAAACCAGAAACTGGGTAGCAAGTCAGAACTAGAGCATCCTTGTTACACTTAGGAAATGGGATGGAAATGCTCATTGTCTCAGCCTAATTAATGTTCATTTATAATAAGCATTATAGTATGTATCAATGTCATAAAAAGTGTTAGGAAGGGCTGGGTACCACAGAAGCAACAATAAAGTCAAGATCTCTAACATTATGTTTTGCCAGGCCTTTGTGCTTTTGCAGCTTTCTGTGAAATTTCGAGTGTTGACTGCTATCTCGTGGAGGAAAAAGTGCTTCCCCATCCCACTCAACACGTTGTCTTTCTTACAGTTTTCCTAAGAGTGTATTTTGCAGATACTAACAAGAAATGACAGAAATATGAAATAGCATGTCATAAAGCAGACATACAGTGAAGAAAAATGTTTCCACAATGCGTAATCATGCCACAGCATTGTATTTGTTTGTTATACAAGGCAATCTTGGTGTGTTGGGTTTTTTCCTGGGGTTTTAGTTTCTTTTTTTCTTTACATCTGGGTACATTTAGTTAGTCTTAATTTCTCATTAATTTTTTGTGTTGTTGTTGTTATAGGTCCTGTACATAAAGTATAGACACAAATGAAAGGAACATGATCATTAGTATTGCTCTTTAGTTTTAAAATAAACTGTGTTATGCTGTTATCTGTTAAAATTTATCCAGATTCACCACCTAAAAATAGAATCATAAAATTACAGAATGGTTTGGGTCAGAAGTAACCTTCAAAGATCATCTAGACCAACCTCCCTGCCATGGACAGGGACATCTTTCACTAGATCAAGTTGACCAATAGAAAATGTCCAACTGAAACCACACATGGAATTTAAGCAGATATAATGAAATTAAACATTATCTCTAAGCACTTAGAAAACAGTATTACTGGGACTTAAAGGGATTACACCTCACCTGAAAGAAAGTACCTGCCATAGCAATGATTTCCAATAATGATCAAAATTAATCCTTGGGCTGACAGCCAACACAAATCCTATACATAGTTTAAAAGCTTAAAAAGCCATAGACAGTTAAGTGCAACTCTACATCAGTAGAATTGTGATTGTTGGGCTGATCCTATGCTCAGGAGCAAACTTCTTACCACAGACTGGAGTATTGCTTCAGTGCTGACTGAAAAAGGGAAGAGTAGGACATAAGATTACCCTTCCCTGTGTCACTCCTTAAGTCCCACGTGATTTTCCTGGAAGTCCCATTACCTGTGTTCTGCCCACTCTTCATTTATGGCATCTGTCTGAGAGGTTAACAGCTGAGGAAGTATAGTTCACCTCCTGATGTATGGAATTAATATCAAGATATATGTGATGAGTTTGGAGCTCAGAAGACAGAAATTTTCCATCCGTGATTGAAATTCCATTTTTTAAATGAATTCCATAGACACTACCTGATGCCTCTTGTGCAGAGCCTGAAAATGAGTCTCTTGCTATGAAGCAGCAGCATTCTTCTATAAGAAATAAGCAGTTTACATTACATCACCCACTGAAGATTAAGCTTTTTATATGCATTTGCTTAATGATTGCTTGTGACATTGGAAAACAGTACCTGATCTATTGAAAAACTCCAAGTATCTGCTTGTACTTTCTGAAAGAAGGAGCCACTCAGGCAGCAGCTTTTCTTCCATGCACAGGGTTTCCAAGCACTGAGTTCACAAATACTGAAACTCTCTCAGAAGTTCACTGATATTTAAAACCTGTGCACCCAGGCGAAGAGTTTTTTTAATTTTCTAAACTTCTGTAAATGATGATAAAGATACAGGTTAATTTTTTAACGCCTGGCACATTCAACTCGCTTTACAGATTAAGAATCCCCAAGAAGTTAGAGAGGAGTATGCTTCAGCTGCTAAAAAAAAAGAATTGATTTTTGTCAGGCTTTCTTTTATTGATTGGCAGCTTAACATTTATCAGCTCAAACAGCTTACGGCTGCCATTTTGTGAAGTGATATTTTAGAGGTCAAGCTAATGCAACCAGGTGGTTTTGTTTGCATTTCTAAAACTGATCTTTGCTGGGCCATCATTATCTGCTTTAACCTGTTTTGAGGACTCAAGATGTAATACACATAGTGAAAAGTAATTATGAAAAGCTCTTCTCCCGGCCTTTATCCATAACTCCTGAATAATATTTTTTCTTTTTAAAAGCAGCAAGTGCTGTGATGCCATCTCTTTGGTTTTTAATCAAAGAATTTTAGCTATAATATTGCTCTTTCCTTCTCTCACTGCATCACCAGCAGCCTTGAAATATGGACATGACCATCTAGTTAAGCATCAATAAACACGCCCATCAAGTCAAGAAACTTTTTTTTTAATCACCCCAAGAACCAAACATAACAGTATTCCAGAAATGACAGATTTTATTTAGAAGAGGTGTTTGTACTGACCACATGCCAAATTCTTACATTTTAAATGCGTCAGCAACATCTGTCAAGCTGTTTCCCTATGCAAATTTACTGTTTTTCTTTGCCATTGGCTGTGAAATAGCCAAGCACAAACACTGAAAGAGGGCATAATAATCAAAACTTAATGACAAAAAAAAAAGGGGGAAAAAAACCCTCGAGGGCGAAGAAAGCTGCGACACCAATGCCCAGGACTTCACAATTTATTCCCACAGTTGTGATAACAAAGCGTTACCTCCCAATATTTGATACACACTAACCCACATGGCAAATCCATATTCCTACTCGACAAAGAGTTACTGAAACAGATAAGAGTGAATGCGTGTGTGGCATTTCTTGCAGTTGACAATTGTTAAAAGCCCTTGATAACACTGTGCAATCTCTGGCATTGTTGTATGGAGAAAGCATTGGCTGTTTCCTATGGCTATATATTTATAATTATATTTTCATTAAACCAAATTGTCTGCCAGCTTCTGATTTCACAAGTCATTTTCATATCGAAGCTGAAAATTTTCAAAACCAGTATCAAGGAATGACATGCAGAGTCAAATGACAAATACTTCATCAACTGTAGATAATGCTCCAGCAACTCTGCATCTTGAGGGTAAAGAAGTTACGGAGAGCAAAGCAGCAAATCACAACAGCAGATTTCTTACTGCTAAGTAGCTGTAACAGAGACTGGCAGGATGTAATACACCCCTTAATTTTCAGGTGTGGCCAGAATGAAAGCGGTTAACAGGGGAAAACAACAAGAGGACTCCTTCTGCAACTGGAATCTGCACTGAATGTCCCTTTGGTCAGGGTGAAAGTAAACAGCCGCAGACAGACTGACAGGGCAGATTTTCAGAGTGGGATGCAAAGGGCAAATCAGTGTCACAGCAGCACTAACACACTGGCATGTGCAGACGCAGGGGTCTTTGGTGGGCATACTGCTGATAATTTTGCACACATTTTTTACAATTACCTTGGAGTTGAGATGGGGAAACATGGAAACCTAAACCTGAATTAATTATTTAAAGTATCAATATACCTAATCTCACATTTAATTCCAATGAGGAAGCTGGGGTTTGGCTTTTAAATGGCGTCCATTCAACTTCAGTGTATTTTACTTGAGCATGACCTAACGACCTAATTCTGTTGTTAATTCAGATGAATTTTCCTGACTGTACTTCACAGATAAGCTGTTAGCAAATCTTTAGTGCGTTAGTACGTTTGCCACTTTCACTGCACCAAGTAGAAGTGGGATAACGTTAACTAAAACGTACAGACATTATATGTACTGCGTGGGCTCCAATGCAGCCAGTAGGCATTATGGTAGGTTAAAGGCCTGATTGGACAAGCTGTGATTGAGGACAGAGATAATTTGAGCAAAGAGAAGTTATTGCATGTATTTTAAACCCAGATTAGTTCACAGAAGCAGGTTTCTTAGCTAAACTGAGATGATGGTAATTTGGATGGGGGGCAGAGGGGAGAAAGGAGAACAGGGTGCTTGGCCAGAGACAAACTTTCATTTGAATCTTTGGCAGCTGAAACAGTCTGTCTGTCTGTGTTTCTACTTGAAATAATAGTTATAATTTATAGTTATTACTTTAAATAAGTGTGGTGGAAGTTTGTTTTAGGTTCTTTCCAGTACCATGGGGTAAAACTGTCTCTGTTGCCTGTTAAAAAAAATAATTCTTAAGTGACATTCTAATCAAGTCATGTCAAAATTGCTTTTCAGGCTGTACGTCCATGGAGGCGTAGGATATGCACTGTGTTTTGTACAGTGCCTGGTACGATGGTTCTTCTGCCAGGCAGAAGCTCCTATGCACAATTAAAAAATAAACAATAAATGTTTGCAGTTTCCTCTCTCCCCTTTAATGGCCTACTTTCATGTTAAAATTACTGGGGTAAGCGGGAAGGCAAGTTATTTATCTCATGTTCCTTGTAATAATTGAAAGCATCTTTTCTTTCCCTTGCTTTGCCTTAAATAACACAAAGTTAGAGGTTTTCACACTTTTTCCCTCCCTGTCTCCTAGGAAACCGATCTCATGACCTTTAACATCTCAATGCACCGCTCTTGGTGGCGGGAACACGGGCCCGGCTGCATACGAAGGGTGGTGCGTCCTTCTGCCCCTGGCATCCTAGATGATTACTCCTACATCTCCGTGACAGGCTGCATAATTGATTTCCAGTACCTCGAGGTCATTCACAGCGCTATCCAAATACTCCTCTCCGTAAGTTCCCATTTCCTTTTGTACTTGCCATCCCAGGCCGTCCCTTTGCATGCAGCCTGCTGCTGTTGGGTCTCTCCATCCTGAAAGGGGGATGTAGTAGTCAATGGATAGCAGCACAGACTTTTAATTATATTTTGAATTAGAGAATGATATTCACATGATTAGAATATGCACTGCTCTTCTTTTCCCTTATATCTCGTAAAGCTCGGCAGAGCTGTAGTCACCATTGCTGGGACGGGTTAAAATTGACTCGAGGTCTTGGCTCTCGTTCATTGAGACATGTACAGCAAAGGGGAGCAGACTTGTCCAAATTGCTTTGCTTAAACCTTTCCAAAGTTCACAGTCAATGATGGTATTTATTCAGCCCTGAATGTAAATATATTTTACATGATACATGGCTAAGTTTCTTCCCAAAGTGAGATGTGGATGTAACACTTGAAAAAGGTCAGAGAAGCATTAGGAATTAAAGTACTCGTTTGCATTTAACCATATAATTTCTTCTTTCCTGGACTCTGCATTATCAGAATACTCTGCCTCCGTGATCCACATTTTGTAGTTGCAATACCAGTCAAAAACTGCAAGTACAAGAAGTCGTTATAAAAAGGCTGCAGCTGAGAGAAGCGCTGGGGCTGGATGAGTTACTCTGGGAGCAGCAGCCCAGTCTTGGCCATGGTCTTTTCTCAGTCTGATGGCTGCTTCTGCTTGTGATTAAAAGGGTGGTTGGCATGAGCTGCATGTGATCTCCTAGAAGTGGTAGCTCTTTCTCTACATAGCTGTGCGTATCTATGTAGCAACCGGCCCACCCCAAGTGGGTGCACATAGGTCTGATGTCTGGACCCATTCTGAGAACATAAATGCTCGTGGATCATGGTCCTAACCATGGCTGCCAGTGCTTGTCAGGCAGTGGGAGAAGAGATGCAGTCTGCAGTCCACACCTACGAGTCAGGTGAGCTGCCTGGTGTGAGCAATCAGAAAATCTGGATATTCCTGGTCTGTTCAGTACTTCCAGCTGTTTTACTAGCTGACCAGTAAATGCTACCACTAGCAAAGTAAAAGGGATCTATAGGACAAATCTCATTCATTAGTTCAAAATTATTTTTGAATTTTAATTTTTACATTTTTTCACAATAAAGACATTTCTCTTTTGAAAAAAAAAAATTGGTGTATGTGGTTACATCTATTATGCTGTGCAACTGACTAGAATGAAGTAGTCTAAAAGTTCAAGATAATTTCTCTGCATTACTAAATACCTTTTATAAGACGTTGAGTGCTTTTTCCTTACCACTGCTTTTAATCAAAATTTAATAAACTTGTATCTTACAGCAGTGATTAATGAACTTCCACTTGGCAGTCCAGGTCTGAATTAGCGCACTTGGTTAGTGCACCAGTGACATCACATGCACCTACACAAGCCATGTGTCTGCTCCTGGCCTATCAGCTTCTCAGGCACCGGTGACACCACAAGTACCTACACAAGCCTTCTCCTGGCTGTCGTTCAGTCAGGCAGCAAAGACTTTGAGCCAGGACCTTCTCCAGTGAAGACAAAACACTTCTCTTGAGGCCCAGCCTCATGTGTGTCAACGCACATTATAACGTTACTGTGAAAGCAGGCCTTGTGGAAGAATTTTGCAGACTACATCTGCAGAGCTTAAACTGAATGCACCTCCCTTACTCTGTGGGGGCCTGAGACTCAAAGCATGTTGCTTCTCCCATGAGCTCTTCATTTGCAGCAAATTCCCCTCGCAAGGCAGTGTTGTTCACTCTGCTTCAGAGAACCTGTATGAGGGAAACTGAAGCGTGGTTGGTTTAAAAGGAGAAAACCATAAATAGTTCCAATACTTCCTCACTTCCATAAGAAAAGATGTATTGTGTTAGAAATTTTTCTAGAATTTTTGTGATTAGAAACAAATTTAGAGCTCCATGGAAATACAGCTGGTTGTTGAAATCAGGATCT